AAGCAGCAGTTTCCAGCACTGATGGTAAATCAGCTTATTAGAATGATTTCTGAAGATCATGTGACACTGAAGACTGGAGTAATGATGCTGAAAATACAGCTTTGATCACAGAAATAAATTACAGTTTAATGTATATTAAAATAGAAAAATGTTATTTTACATCATAATAATATTTCACAATATTACATTTTTTCCTGTATTTTTGATCAAATAAATGCAGCCTTGATGAGCAGAAGAAACTCCTTTAAAAACACTTAAAATGGTTCTGATCCCAAACTTTTGACCGGTAGTGTATTTCTAACAAAACCACATCAAAACAACCTAAATATTACTGTTTCCAAACAAAATTAATAAATTTTACTTGCATAAACTTTCACGTTCAGATTAAAAAAGTGATCAGTTTCTATACTGCAAAGGTTCATCAATACACTCTCAGAAAAAAGGTAGACAAGTTTTTCAAAAAGCACACCTTTGTTCTTAAAAGGTCCATATTGGTACCCAAAGTGTACCTAAAAGGTACAAAAGTGTTCCTTTTAAAAAAGTACTTGTAGCTTTTTTCTGAGTGTAGCTAAAAAAATGCAATGGTTTGTCAATAGATTTACATATTCATATTTACCAGCAAAATTCAGTCCCAAAGTGTGTGAGATATGGGGAAATATATTTTACTGAAGTTTTTGGCACTAATTGTACTCCATACATCAAAATGACCCAAACACAAAACGTGTAACATTTTTATTTACAAATGGTTATATCTCTTAAAAAATAATGGTAAAAAATCTGAAAAAAATTAATGATGTGTATTTTAAGGGTTTTAAAGCGTTTGCAAAGTTCCGTTCCCTTACTATAAACTATGCACTTTATAGAATTAAGTATCGAATCTATAGTATTTAAGAGCGTCTCTCACCTTCTCCACCGCAAACGTTCTGATGACGTACTCGGACAGAAGCTGCGTCTCGATCAGCGTCACCTTGATGTCTCTGTAGATCTCGGTGTCGTCCGGCCAGTATTTACAGCACTTCACCTGACACACACAAACACACACAGACCTTCATCAGAGGAGCACAGCTTCGAGTCCGGCTCGCAACGGTCAGAACTGCTGTTTCTTCTGTAACTGTCCAAATAAGCTGATTTATGCAACACATGTTTATTTATATTGCACATTTCATACAGAATGGAAATTCAGAGTGCATTAGATAAAAATTATTCAAAATAGCAAAAAAATATGGAAGTTTCTGCGACAGTATAAAAAATTTAAAAAGTAACTGCGTCTTGCAATTCAGACAGTTTTTCTCAGAATTTTGGCTTTACATTTCACAATTCTGTTTTTTTCCCCCCACTATGGAATTTATATATATATATATATATATATATATAAAAACTAGATAACTGCAACTTTTTAACTCGTAATTCTGAATTTTATCATGCAGTTGCAAGATTATCTTTATTATCAAGATTATCACATTGTGGAGTTTTCTTCTCAGAATCGCAAGTTTATATTACATATAAATGTTATAATCAAATTTGCTTTAGAAGTCATCTCAACTTAAATTATACTGAACTATGACTTAAAAATTGAGGTGCATCTCATATAACTTAAAAAATAAAATGTTAACATAATGTTAAATGTTAACTTAAAATGTTAACTAATCCTAACTTTTTTTTTTTAACAGTAGCCGATCAGTTTTGATATGAAAACTACTACACTGTAAAATTATTTGTTGGTTTAACTTCCATTAAGTAGCCGAACCAACACATTTTGATCAAACAACGCAAAATTTGAAACAAAAAAATCAAGTTTTGAGTTTATTTAAACTACAAATTTGAGTTGATACAAAGAGATTAGATTATTCAACAGAAACTCAAAATATTTAAATAAGTTATCTGAACAACATTTGTCAATCTAAGCTGATCTGAGAAGAGATTTGTGAAAAGTTATGATAACGAATGATGAAAATGTTTTCACAGTGACTTTCTGAGGAGTAAATGCAGATGTGGAGATGAAGAGCGTCGAAGCTCGTCGTGTCTGACCTTTCGTTTGTGACGGTGGCATGTGATAGCGCTCGGTTTGAAATGTCACCTGATCACATTAAATGAACCCTTCAGCGGCGGTGATGATTAACATCGTGCTCCTGATTAACACACGTATTGATGTTCAGATCAATGCACCGTGAGGATCGTCCTCCATACGCTCTCATTTCAACAGCATTAACACCTATTGATTCGATTTCTGAACGCATAGAGCATCACGGATCAGCATCTGTTGCCACAGTAACCTCTATCAGTAGTTTCATATGTTTATGAAAATCATTTATTCATTTGCAACATTTAATGACTCTAAAATGTCAAGAGGTGTAAGCATCAAATCAAAGCAAATCTGATATTTTTACACCTTCAATTAATGTGTTAACATTCCTTAATCATAATTTTTTTTTATTTTAATATTTTTTTTTACAAACAAGCTTTTTTAAAGAAAAAAATTGATTAAAATAATGAAATATGTGACCTCAAATGTTATAGTAGTAGGCCATATGCTACTAATTAAAATGAATTATTTAGTGCTTCCATAAAAGCAATAGGAATAATTTAATTCCTAACAATTCCCATTAGTTAGTCAATAAACCTGAACATATTTCATTAATCAACATCTGTCAGCCAATCAGAATCAAGAATTCACCAATGATGTGGATTTTTATTTTCAAAAGTTTTTTTTATTTAAATTTTTTTTTTATTAAAATGTATTAAAATAATGAAATATGTGACCACAAATGCTATAGTAGTAGGCCATATGCTACTAATTAAAATGAATTATTCAGTGCTTCCATAAAAGACAACAAATCAGGAATAATTAAATTCCTAACAATTCCCATTAGTTAGTCAATAAACCTGAACATATTTCATTAATCAACATCTGTCAGCCAATCAGAATCAAGAATTCACCAATGATGTGGATTTTACCAAGAAGTTTCGCAAAGTAATTAAATTAATATAATTAAAATTAAATTATGTGACCAAAAATGCTACAGTAGTAGTTCATAGGAAAGCACAATGAATTATTTGGTGCTTCATTAAAAGTCTATTAATAAAATAAAAATAACCAGTATTTTTACACTTTTAATTAATGTGAGTTTACACACCTTAATCATTATTTTTAAAAGAGTTAAAAAAAACTTTTTAATGTAGTCTATGTGAAGAGTTTTGATTAATTATTTGGTGCTTCTTTAATATAAACAAACCTGGAATCATTAAATTCCTGAAAATTCCCAGTCAATAAACCAGGAATTCCATTCCTAACCCTATTTACAAAAGAGTTTTCTTTCTATTTTAAAATATTTTTTACATGCAAATTTTGTCTTCCATAAATAAATGAATGAATGAATGTTAACAAAAAATTATGTCAGGCTATATTTTAAAAGTTATGATTACTTATTTGGTGGTTCCTTAAAAAGAAATTGATCTAGAACCATCCTTAGTCAATAAACATGGACATACTTAATTATTCAACTTTTGGAACGTCTGTCAACCAATCAGAATCAAGAATTCATCAGTGCACTGCTATAAAGTCTTCTAATAAAATAAAAGCCAGTCGGATATTCACACACCTTAAACATTATTTTCAAAACAGTTTTTTAAACATTTAAAAAAAAATTTTTTTAACAAACAAGTTTTGTTAGTAAAATAAACAAATTAAAGTAATTAAAATGAAAATATGAAGTATTCTAGCTAATCTTACAGTATTAAAGCTGGTAGGCTAGATGATGGTGCTTCTTTGAAAGAAAACAAATTCCTGAAAAATTCCCATCGCTAGTCAATAAACCTGGACGTACTTTATTAAGCAACACCTGGAACGTCTGTCAGCCAATCAGAGTTAACACCATTCACCAGTGCACTGCTATAAAGCGACTCCAGAAGGATGTTCCCGAGTCCACTCGTCTCCTGATGAGCGAGACGGGTGTCGAATCTCTCGGCGATGTAATTCACACATTAATGTTCTCAGTCACACATTACGCTCAGCTAAATGAGTTCTGCACTTCCAGATGTGACACGATACCCGACCTCACACGTCTGACACTCACAGAGCGACTCCATTACACTTCTCATGCAACGCAAAGAAAACCTCATTATGTGGCAATATAATCCAGTCAGCAGAGAATCAGAAGTATTAGAACAGCAGCACTAATAACTCTCAGCCTGCAGCCGCACACGCTATCCCATCCAATAGAACACGAATAAACATAAGCACAGCGTATATGACAACATGATTACAAAATCCACTTTACAGTAAGACATCGAGCACAACAGAGAGAGAGAGAGAGAGAGAGAGAGAGAAAGAGAAGCATGGAGGATTGTGACACTTGCTTTTTTCCCAGCGATACATCGAGTGCAGAAATTCAATTTTCTCCAGCATCATTAGAGCTGGAATGTGATTGGAGACACGAGACGGAGACACACGAGAGACACACGAGAGTCTCCCGCTGAGACGAGCCTCCAAACGACTCCATCTCAGAGTCCTCTTCTGGGATCAGATGACAGAAAAACCATCAGATCATTTCAGCAGTTAGGAATCTGTGTGTGTAAGTGAGTGAGAAACAGAGAGAGAGAGAGAGAGAGTGTGTGTGTGTGTGTG